GTAGCCATATAAGTGCCAGGCCCACACTGGAGAAAAAAAATACATCTTATATATTGTACTTAAAAAATTGTTTAATAATTCATTAATAAAAAAAAATAATGAAAACTCAAAGAAGGTAAATAATGGGCAAAAGATAGTAAATGGCCAAAAGAAAAAGATAATGGACAAAAGAAATCATTGTTCTTGTTGATTTTGGTGAAAGTAAATATAGTCTTTTTTTATTAGATTTGATATACAAATTAAAAATTTAAACTTATAGCTAATTGAATATTGTTTCTTAAATGACTATTAACATATTTAAATTTGTGTGCGACTGATAAGTTGAGGGCTCTTTAAAAGTTTGATATATTAGATAAACATTTTATACATTATAATTTATTTTTTTATATCAAATTATAGAGAAATGTTCTTATAAATAGTCTCCACCGAAAAGTGCATGTAAAATATTTCAAAATTAGCTACTTTTAGTCTAAATATACTTGAGGTGAATTATACATTTTTAGGCCGAAATAAAATGTAAAGATCTTATTGTAGATTCATACCAAACTATAAAAACTGATAATAATTCATAAAAATTTCTATGAGTGTGTATTTTTGCGATGCTTTGTTATGATGTATTATCTCTCCTATTCATAATGAGTATCGTTTTGAAAAGTTGCACAATAATTAAGAATTTTTTTTGTCAATAATAGCCCTCATTAATGAATATAGAGATGAATGTTTTGAGAAAAGATGAAGAGTGAATATGAGAAGATGTAGTGTATTTATTAGCTAATGGAAAAATATGTACATAAGATCCAAAATGTCATTTATTTGGTTAATGGTTGATAAAGTCAAAATGACATTTAAAAATAATAGTAGGTAGTATTGGTTTTCTAGAAACAAGTAGGCCCCCACTGATTTAATGAGCTAGATCCGCCCCTGCACACACACACACACGGCGGCCGCCACCAGGAGCTTCACCGAAGACAGAACCTCAATTGCGTTCACCGAGCCAACCGCAGCTATAATACCCGCCTCCAACGCCGCCATCCGGCGCGGCCATCTTGTCTCTGTCACAGCGCGGCCACCATGCCGTCGGAACCAGAGCTCCCAGCACCACGACGGGACCGCACTCTGGTCGGGAAATACGACCATGTGACAGGGTGTGCGGCGGCGGGCGGGGAACGTATTCATGGCCATATCTCCTTGTCGTTGTCTCATATCCGTTTCCAGGTCGTGAGGCCACGGTGACGGCGGCTCTGGCCGGATATGACGACTGGGCGATGGGGCTTATGGCGGCGGGCGAGCGGCTGCAGCCGACGGGGTGTGTATATTCTATGTGTGTGTGTGTGAGTTTACTCACATAATTTTCTTTTTTCTTTGTATTTTTTTTGAATGTTGGAGCTTTGTTATGAAAATTAGACAATTTGTAGGGGTTTTTTTGCAATTTCAGAACATTTATTATATTATATTTTATTAGTGGGATGGTTTTTGTAATTTATCAAAAGTTGCACATTAATAATACATGATATGCAAAATATTGTGAATTTACAAGCACATTATAAAAACTGTTAAATTTTATAAAACTACATAGTTATTAATTGGTTAGATCATCGGTCGGTTTGGTTTAATCGAATGAGGGGATGTCGAAATCGGAATAACAGAAATAAATATTATTTGTATTATAAAAACATATTTATTGTTGTAATATTTTTTTTAATAATTTATATTATTTTATTTATTAATAAATGTTATATTCTATACAACAAAATATAATGTGCAATCTAACAACTATTAATGTGCGAATCTTCTAACACAACGGTGCACGGTGTCAGTCGGTATTGTGCATATTGATTCGAACAAAATCTTATCCCGAAATAAATTTGGTATGTGCGTATCGATTCCAACAAACTTTTGTCCCAAAATAAATTGAAACCGATTGGTTTATTCCGTCGGTCAACTGAATTATCCTAAATAATTGACACAGTTTGCTATTTACATTAAAATTATATTTAGTATGTTATCATGTCTATCTATTATTTTTATATTACTTTTTATTGAAAAATATAATACACGAAATACCAGTATCGATAAAGTGCAAGAACCGAACTCTATAAAGTGCAAGCACGCATACATAGATGTGTATCTAGTATATATAACATTATTGTGCAATCGTATTGCCGTCACGTTTAATAAATTTGTCCCAAACATGTATGTTTAATTATTTGTCCCAAGTCATACTAAAATCGAATCAAAATAATCGGAATATGTGTTCAGTTAACCGAAATAAATTAAACAGTCGAAATGAAATATTATTTATATTATGAAATATATTTAGAATATTATTTTTTTTATTTAATATTTTATATACCTTTGTTGGTTGAAAAATAACTAATATGTATAGAAAATATAAAAATATAACTTTTTATATATTTCACTCGATTTATTATTTTTAACGACAATGCTGACATCTAACCGATAGTTGGAATTTATAACTAAAAACAAATAATATAATCGACATATAAAAAATCGAACTGAAAATTTAGTCCGATCAATTTCGGTCTCTATGGTGCAATCTATCGATCATTAACGTGCATTCCATATAAAACTATTGTGCTATCACATGAGATTTATCTTTAATGTGATTAAATACAATAGATTGTGTATTTTGTTTTTTACAATTAACATTCATTTATTGAACTTTTTATAAATTACAGATTTGGCACATGTATCAAATTGAAATATAATCAAAATTCATTAAATGCAACCAAGCCCTTTAAAATTATCTAATTCTCCAAAAAAGGCCATAATCCTAAAATCATCTTCTACCTACTACCCGTCTGTTCTGGCAGCCACTCCGGCCGGCAACGTCCTGCGTCGTATGCCTGTTAAGTTGTGGCGTTGCCGGTGGTGGGGGCACCGGAGGTTGTTGATAATGTCCAGAATGGCTTTCCACAGTTACCTCCGGTTGATTTATATCTGGTGGATTGTTAATAACAGGAATTTCTCCATGACCTGGAGCAACTACTTCTTCTCTTTGTTGCTGTTGATTACGCGGTTGAGACGTTGCATGCGAAGCAGCTGCATGTATAGGATGTTCCTGAACCGGCGGCGTTGGTTGTCTTATAGGATTATTAGGGGCTATAGTTTGACCAGGAATAGGAACAGACGTTCCTGGCCTTGTTTGAGCCATAAAATCATATAGGTTTCTTATAAACAATGGATCTTGAAACAAAACAGAGTAGTTAAGAGTCATAGATGGAGCAGTCGTCCTTTCAGTAGATTGAGCAGGATGACAACTGGTTCCAACTTCTGGATTACTGTCTTGACGTCCAGAACTTGCCATGATAATTGTTTGATTGATATATGAAGACGAATGGGTAGGCGTATGTGGTTTATGTATAGAATATCGAAGATTAACCTCAAATAACTTATGACGCCCTCCTTCTAGCGTCAAACTGTTGTTGTATGAATTTTAACAACGAATTATAACTATAGGAGGTATAATTAAAGTTAAAGCAATGAAAATTTTGTATTATTGTTGTATTTTTCGCGAGTATAGGAGGTCGGTTTTCATGTATAACCGAGCTATTTTTGTATGTCCATGTACAATGTGTGTAAAAGATCCCCGTACGATGTGTTTGACTTTTCGTACGGGGTAGATTAGATCGCATTTAATATTGAGCAGCTTCATTAAAGCGGTTTGTATTGCAATAATGATGAGACATCAATGATTACAATTTTGATAGGTGGCTCAGTCAGAAATGTGCCTTGTCACCAGCTTTGGGATTCAGTCACCTCGGACCTCGGTTTGAGTGGGTAATCTTCAGGGAAGAATATTCGAGAAGTCGATTTTTTGTCTTTTGTGCGAGGTTGGTTCACCGTCTTGAAGTGAAATCGGTTTGTTTTTAAGCGTGAAGTCGGTTCACCGCATTCTTTGTATCG